TCGGACTTGGGATGTAGTTTTTCTTGGCCACCAGCTCCTACCAATCACAAACCGTCCAGCCTTCGTCCAGCGCCGGGGAGAAACCCTGGATATAGTTAGCCCTTTAGAAGATGTGACAGTCAATATTTATAAAAAGGGTATGACGGAAATCGGGGAAGTTAAATGATTGGCCGTGGCATAATGCTTAAAAATGGGAGAGAGTTGGGTTTAGATCTACATATTAAGCCTCGTAAATGCAGGCCGCTTAGTACTCCACCATAGCTGCATGGAGGGAACCAGTCACATGCGATTTTAATGTAGACAAGACAGTGCTATTTAGACGTGTGTTGGCTATATTTCACTTCCATTGGTGGCCTGGTTTCTTTGCCTCTGGGCTAGGTGGGGTGTTTTTGTTTTTATCATTAAGAGTGAATAACTCCTCTCTCTCTCCTTTCCCCTCTTTTGGTCCCCAGGAAAATCTAATGTCATGGATGCACTTAGTTTTGTCATGGGAGAGAAAACGGCTAATTTAAGAGTGAAACATATTCAAGAACTTATTCATGGAGCACATATTGGAAAGCCTATTTCTTCTTTTGCAAGTGTAAAAATTGTGTATGTGGAGGAAAATGGAGAAGAAAAAACATTTACAAGAATTATTCGAGGTATATTTTTGTAGATGTTTGCTTATGAGTTATTTGAGTTTTCCAGAGTTAAGTCAGATTACCTGTTCAACTAGCATAGTGAACTAGACTTTTTTTCTCTTGGATAACAATTCTCAGAAGTAATAGAACCTGTTTGGTTCTCCACTGGGACTCTTCTTTAAGCAGATTTATTTGTTCAAACTTCTCCATTGTCAAATAGCACTTTTGTACCTGGTTATTAGGTTAAAATAAAGGAGAGCCCACCTTAAAGATAGAGAAGTTATAAAAGTCCTTCCTGGGGTTATTTATGTATATTTATCTTGTTTTTTTTAATGGTGAACTAATTATTTGCATATTTTTGGTTTGTATAGAAAGATCTACCATTGAAAGCAACTTCAGTGAAACATTTGAATTTGTATTTTGTGATTTATTCATGAAATCCTGTTTCCTGAGTAAACTATATATATGTATATATATATGCTTACATATATATACATGTATGTAGGAGGAGTTTACAGAGCCTCTATAAAAGTGTTTCTTGGTGGGTTTGTTGTTGCTATTTTCATTCTGGCCTACTAAAACTTGGTTTTAATATTCTAATGTATAAATACTATTTTATTAACTTTCCCCAAATTTAATCAGGTAATTTTAGAAATACTTATATACTTGTACCTTAATGTCTAATTTAAGCATTTCACCACTTTATTACCTAAGTATCTTCATTGGTTTTCTCACTTTCTTTTGGTTTTTACTCAAAAGTTTCCCATCTCACTAAGGATTCCTTAGTCTACTCTATTTATTTAATAAACCACCATATGTTTGTTTTTCCCATTTTATTAAGGTATAATTGATAAAAATATATATTTAAGCTATACAACTTGATGTTTTAATATACATTGTGAAATAGGTGACATAATCAACCTAATTAACATATGTATCACCTCACCTGGTTACTGTTTTCTTTTGTGTGTGTATGGTGAGAACACTAAGGTCTGCCCTCTTAGCCAATTTAAAGTGTGCAATACAGTATTGTTAACTGTAGTCACATTGCTATGCAATAGATCTCCAGCTTAGCATCTTTTTTTTAAAATATATTTTATTGATTTTTTACAGAGAGGAAGGGAGAGGGATAGAGAGTTAGAAACATCGATGAGAGAGAAACATGGATCAGCTGTCTCCTACACGCCCCCCACCGGGGATGTGCCTGCAACCAAGGTACGTGCCCTTGACCGGAATCGAACCTGGGACCCTTCAGTCCGCAGGCCGACGCTCTATCCACTGAGCCAAACTGGTTCTGGCCAGAGCTTAGCATCTTACCAACTCTCTATTCCTTGACCAGCTCCCCATTTTCTTCTCCCCCAGCCCTGGCAGTCACCATTCTATGCTCTGCTTCTGTGAGTTTTGACTATTTTAAATTCCACATATAAGTAAAATCATGCAGTATTTTTCTTTCTGTGCATGGTTTGTTTCACTTAGCATAATGTCCTCTGGATTCCTCTGTGAAATTGCAAATGGCAAAATTTCCTTCTTTTTTTAGGTTGAATAATATTCTCGTATTTTCTCTACTTACCCACTGATAGACATTTAGATTATTAGCTATTGTGAATACTTCAATAATATGGGAGTACAGATAGCTCTTCAAGGTACTGATTTTATTTTCTTTGAATATATACTCAGAAGGGATTGCTTGATCACAAGGTAGTTCTGTTTTGTTTTGTTTTGTTTATATATTTTTTTTATTGATTTCAGAGAGGAAGGGAGAGGGAGAGAGAGATAGAAACATCAATGATGAGAGAGAATCATTGATTGGCTGCGTCCTGCATGCCCCCTACTGGGGATCAGCCCACAACCTGGGCATGTGCCCTTGACCAGAATTGAACCTGGGACCCTTCAGTCTGCTGGCCGACACTCTATCTACTGAGCCAAACCAGTTAGGGCAGGTAGTTCTGTTTTTAATTTTGAAGAATCTTCATATGGCTTTCTGTAATGGCTGTACCAATTTATATTCCCACCAACAATATACAGAGTTCTCCTTTTCTTCACATCCTCACCAACACTTGCCTTTTTGTCTTTTTTTTAAAATATATTTTATTGATTTTTCACAGAGAGGAAGGGAACAAGATAGAGAGTTAGAAACATCGATGAGAGAGATACATCGATCAGCTGCCTCCTGCACATCTCCCATTGGGGATGTGCCCACAACCCAGGTACATGCCCTTGACCGGAATCGAACCTGGGACCTTTCAGTCCGCAGGCCGACGCTCTATCCACTGAGCCAAACTGGTTTCGGTGCCTTTTTGTCTTTTTTATTGGAACAGGTTTGAGGTGATATCATTGTCGTTTTGATTTGCCTTTTCCTAATCTTTCCTGATATTGAGCACCTTTTCATATACCTGTTGGCCATTTGCATATAATCTTTTGAGAAATGTCCATTCAGGTTCTTTTCTCATTTTAAATTGGGTTATAATACTTTGGTTTTTTGCTACTGAATTGTATGAGTTCCTTATATATTTTGGATATTAACCCCTTGTCATATATGTGGTTTGAAAAGATTTTCTCCTATGCCATTGATTTTGTTTTACACTCTGTAGGTTGTTTCCTTTTCTGGGCAGACGTTTTTTATTTTGATACAGTCCCATTTATCTATTTTTGCTTTTGTTGCTTGTGCTTTTGATAGATGCAAAAAATTACTGACCAGATCAAAGTCAAAAAGCCTTTCACCTGTGTTTTCTTCTATTAGTTTTACAGTTTCAGGTATTACGTTAAGTCTTTAATCCATTTTGAGTTAATTTTCATATGTAGTGTGAGCTAAGGGTTCAGTTTCATTTTATTTGCATGTAGATACACAGTTTTCCCAACACTGTTTATTGAGGAGACCATCTTTCCCCCATTATATGTCTTGGTTCCCTTGTTGATGATCAGTTGACCGTAGATGTACAGATTTCTTCCTGGACACTATTCTGTTCTATCGTTCTATATGTCTGTTTTGATGCCAGTACCATACTGTTTTGATTACTGTAGCTTTGTAGGATAGTTTGAAGTCAAGGAGCATGATACCTTCCACATTTTTTCCTCTAAAGATTTATTTGGCTATTCAGGGTCTTTTATGACCCCATATCAATTTTAGGATTATTCCAGTTCTGCGAAGAATACTGCTGGTATTTTAATAGGAATTACGTGGAATCTTATGTTGCTTTAGGCAGTAAGAATATTTTAATAATATTAATCCTTCTCCCCCCACTTCCCTCCCTTCCACGCTTTCTAAAAATATCAATGGGAAAAAAATATAATCGTGGGTCAGGATTAACAAACAAACAAAAAAAGAGCACCTATACTATTCATGAGGGCTCCACCATCATGACCTAATCACCTCCCAAAGGCCCTACCTACTGATATCATCACCTTTGGGGGTGAGATTTTCAACATGAATTTAAGAGGGACACAAATATTCAGACCATAGCACCATCCTGTTTAAAATTGCAAATGCGTGATTCCAACATACAGAAACTTTCATACCTTCTTCCCAACTCTATTTTACTGAACTCAGAGCACTTACCAATTTCTTTCATATTTATTTTACTTACATATCTTGTTTTTGTCTGTTTCCATAACTGGGATATAAGTTCTTTGAGGTCAGACTTTTGTCTGTTTTGTTTACTGCTACAGGGAACTCATTGGTATGTAGTATACAGTATTTGTTGACTGACTAAATGCATATATTAACATGTATATTATTGCAAAACTGGCATTTCAATAAGAAAAATAATTTTATAAAACTTTCAGCAGTTGATATGTGTCGGATATTTATACTTCCAATGACAGCCTTTATTTACTTTAGGAGGATGCTCAGAATTTCGTTTTGATGATAATCCTGTGAGTCGTTCCACTTATATCGCAGAGTTGGAAAAGATAGGTATATTAATCAAAGCACGGAACTGTCTAGTTTTTCAAGTAAGTAGTTGTAAAGTTTATTTGATTCATGATTTTGAAAAACCATCACTATATTTTACATGTTGGTGTGCTTTACTGTTTTTAAAAGGGAACTGTAGAGTCGATTTCAATGAAAAAACCCAAAGAAAGAACCCAGTTTTTTGAGGAAATCAGCACTTCAGGAGAGCTTATAGGAGAATATGAGGAAAAGAAAAGAAAGTTACAGAAAGCTGAAGAGGATGCACAGTTTAATTTTAATAAAAGAAAAAACATAGCTGCAGAGCGCAAACATGCAAAATTAGAGAAAGATGAGGTAAGGTGTCATGAAGATGTAACCAATTTAGTGTTGGATACAGAAACTGTCAGAATTGCTAGATATTGGCTTGGGGTTACTAATGAGACTCTTTTAATACTACTAGAGGCCCCATGCATGAAGATTCATGCAAAAATGGGCCTCCTTCCCCTGGCTGCTGGCACTGCCTTCACTCCAGCTGGAGCCGCCTTTCCACCTTTCCACGCTGCCCAGAGGCCGGGAGCAGCTGGGGCAGTGTGGAACTCCCCAGCCGCTCAGTGCCTGCATATGCAAATTAACTCACCATCTTTGTTGGGTTAATTTGCATACTCCTGATTGGCTGGTGAGCATTGTGAAGGTACAGTCATTTTGCATCTTTCTCTTTTATTAGTGTAGATAAGACAAATAAAGCCCAATATTCATTAAAGATAAGCCTTTTGAGCATGGCTAGAGTGGCTCAGTGGTTGAGTGTCATCTCATGCACTATGAGGTAACCAGTGCAATGCCTGGTCAGCACATGCCAGGGTTGCGGCTGGATCCCAAGTAGGAGGCATGCAGGAGACAGCTGATTGATTCATTGATGTTTCTATCTCTTCCTCTCCCTTCCTCTCTCTAAAAATCTATAAAAACATATTTTTTTTAAAAAAAGTAAGCCTTTCAGTATGTTTTTCACCATTTAGGTGTGTGTGTTTTCTTAAATAGGGCCACCTGAACTAAAAAGAAGTGTGAAGAGTTTATGCCTTACACGGCAGTGGTTCTCAAACTTCTGCTTCTTGTTCCCTTATGTTCTCAAAAATCACCGGGGCCCTGGCCAGGTTGCTCAGTTGGTTGGAGTGTCATCCCACACACCAAAAGGCTGCAGGTTCTCTCTCCAGTTAGGGTGCATATGAGAAACGACCAATGGATGTTTCTCTCTCACATAGATTTTCTCTCTGTCTCTCCCTCTCCCCCTTCCTCTCTAAGATCAATTAAAAAAACAACATATCCTCGGGTGAGAATTAAAAAAATTATTGGCAACTGCAGAGTTTCTTTTCATGTGGGTTATAACTATCTACCAGTATTTATTGTATTTGAAATTAAAACTGGGAAACTTAAAATATACATTTTAATGATCAATGTATAAGTAATGTATTATATGTTAACATAAATAATATTTTAGTGAAAACACTGCATTTTTTTCTTTTTTTATTTCGGTGACATTGGTTATTGGGATCATATAGGATTCTGTATATTGCATTGTGTGCCCACCACCCAAAGTCAAATCATCTTCCATCACCATATAATAGGCCCCCTTTACCCACTGCTACTGCCCTACTCATTTCCCCCTGGTAACCAACATTCTGTTGTCTATGAGTTTCATTTCATATCCCACATATGAGTGAAACTATATGGTTCTTAGCTTTTTCTAACTGACTTATTTCACTTAGCATAATATTCTCAAGGTACATCCATGTGGTTGCAAATGGCAGTTTTTCATCTTTTCTTACAGCTAGTTGAGTAGTAGTCCATAGGGGAGGTGTGTGTATCACATCTTCTTTATTCAGTCATCTATTGAGGGACACTGACTGTTTCCATTTCTTGGCCACCGTGAATGATGCAGTGAACATAGGGATGCATATATCTTTGCAAATAAATGGTTTTTAATTTTTCAGGTAGATACACAGAAGAGGGATGCTGGGTCACGTGGTAACTGTTCTTAATTTTTTCAGGAACCGCCTTACTGTTTCCATAGTGGCTGTACCAGTTTACATTCCCACCAGAAAACTGCTTTTTTTTTCTAAAACTAAATAATTATAACTGTAACATTGTTTTTAAATTTTTGTAATCTTAATATCTAGCTTAATAAAAGACATGAATTCTCACATCTGTTTCTGTATTAAATCTTATTTGTGTCAAGGCCTAGCAGCTTTATGCATCATTGGCTTTGCACCATCACTCAGTGCAGATATAAACACAATGAAAAAGGCAAGTTTTAGTATTGCTTTGAAAATAGTTTGACCTCAGGGACTCCCTAAAATAGTGTGGGGGACCCCTAAGAAACAATGGCCACACTTTGCAAATGCTGTCCTGTGGTATTTTCTTGGTACCCTTCACAATGCCTAGTAGAGTACCGCATGTATGGTTGATAATTATTTGTGTTTAGAGTGATCTTTTTAAAATGCAAATCAGATTCTGTCTTCCTCTGGCATAGAACCTCTTCCAGTGCAGTGCTTCCCACTACACCAAGAATCTAGTCTCCTACCCAGCCTTCTGATCTGGCCCCTATTCACCTCTCAGGCCTTAACTTCCTCTACTCTCCTACCACATTGACCTTTAGTATTTATTGAACACCCACACTCCATCCTAGCCGAGCTTTTGCTATTTCCTCTGCCTAGGTAATTGTATGCCTGATTTTTGCATGGCAAATACTCTCTCATTCAAGTTTTCGTAAAAAGCCATTCTCTGTCAGGCATTTGCTGTCCATGCCCCCAATCTAAATTAGCACCCACTCTCTGGTGCTATTGCATTACTCTATTTTGTTTCTTTTATAGCATATATTGCTATATGATATCTTGTTTATTATTTGTTTACTTGTTTACTCAATGACTCCTCTTCACCCCCCTCCCATTAGAATAACTATATTTTAAACTTAAAAGACCAGGAACTATTTCTATTTTGTTCTTCACTATATACCCAGCACCAAGAACAGGGCCTGGTACATAGTAGGCAATTAAAAAATATTTAAAGAAATAAATGAGAGGAAGATGTGTTCCTTATTAGTGATGTCTTTTTGTTTCTTAATATTTTTACATGTGTGTATATCACATGAAATTATTTATTGGCATTATAGCTGAGTTTATGAAAAGTCAACTTAAATATGCTTCCTTTTAACTCTTGTTGAATTTACTGTTTTATAGGCAGAACGTTACCAGACTCTCCTTGAAGAACTTAAAATAAATAAGATTCAACTGCAGCTTTTCAAGCTATATCATACTGAGAAAGAAATTCATTTGCTGAACACTGAGTTAGAGAATGTGAGTAGGAATTTGAGTGACACAAAAGAATCTCTTTCTCATCATGAAAACGCAGTGAAAGCCAAGAAAAAGGAGCATGGGATGCTAACTAGACAGCTGCAACAAACAGAAAAAGAATTAAAGTGAGTCTTTAAAAATAATTATTAACAGTTGGATTTTATGTAGATCAATAGAGAAAATAAAAATATTACTGATGTTTTGAAAGTTGATTATTTTAAGTTTTTTACTTTGGAATACTTTAGATGTACAGAAAAATTATAGAGAGAGGACAGAGTTCCCATATTCCCCACACTTGGTTTCTCCTACTTACATCTTACACTATGAGTATGATACATTCGTCAGAATTAGTGAACCAATGCAGATACATTACTATTAACTGAAGTCCATACTTTATTCATATTTTCTTAGCTTTTACCTATTGTCCTTTTTTAAAATCCAGAATGCCATATTACATTTAGTGATCACATCTCCATAGACTCCTCTTGCCTGTGACAGTTTTTCAGACTTTCTTTGTGATGACCTTGACAGTTTTGAGGAGTATTGTTCAGGGTTCTTTTGCACAGTGTTCCTTAATTGGGATTTGTCTGATAGGTTTTTCACAATTAGACAGGGTTTATGAATTTGGGAAAGAAAACCACAGGAGTAAAATGCCATTCCCATCATGTTATATGTATCAGGGATGTCCACAGATCATATGTTATATGACATATCTAATGATTCATATCAACTTGACATCACTTTAGATATTGACCTTTTCTTGCCCATCTACAACCTCCCACTCCAACAGTGAGAAACCTGCCTTTCACAAGATGTCAGCATTTGCTGAGTTGTTCAATTCTAGGAACCACGTTCGGCAGCATTGGAATTGTGCATCATACCCTCTTAGGCAGCAGCCTTATCAACTAGAGTAGGGTGCTTATGTACAGGTTTTTTTGCTTTTAGCTTTGCAGATGCCACTCATTTCTAAAGTTACTTAGGCTGGCACTTTTTATCCCCACCCCTTCAGTAAGGTGGTTTAATGCATATGAAATACAGTTAGATTCTTTTTCTTTTTTTAAAATATATTTTATTGATTTTTTACAGAGAGGAAGGGAGAGAGATACAGAGTTAGAAACATCGATGAGCTGCCTCCTGCACATCTCCCACTGGGATGTGCCCACAACCCAGGTACATGCCCCTGACCGGAATCGAACCTCGGACCTTTCAGTCCACAGGCTGACGCTCTATCCGCTGAGCCAAACCGGTTTCGGCCAGTTAGATTCTTTTGCCGCTTTCTATATTCCATCTAGGATGTCTTGGCCTCCTCTGAGTGATTTTTTAAATTTGCATCCATTAAAGTACACTCTTGGAGGTATAAAGTTCTGTAGGTTTTTACAGACGTGTGCTGTCTGTGTCCACCATTACAGTGTCATACAGAGTATTTACCACTCAGAAAATTCCCCTGTGCTTCACCTGTTCAACCCTCCTCCTAACTCTGGCAACGACTGCCCTACTTACAGTCTCTGAAAGTGAGTTTTTAGAATTTGTTTTTAAAAGTGTGATCTGGTCAGAAGAACTTCTTCCCTTTATTTATCACAACATTTAATTTCCTTTAAAGCAGACTTGATTTTTCTTTTTAGATCTCTTGAAGCACTTTTAAATCAGAAGAGGCCCCAATATATTAAAGCCAAAGAAAACACTTCTCACCATCTTAAGAAATTAGATGTGGCTAAGAAATCCGTGAAGGACAGTGAAAAACAATGTTCTAAACAGGAAGATGACATAAAAGCCCTAGAGACAGAGCTGGTTGATCTAGATGTTGCATGGAAAAGTTTTGAAAAGCAATCGGAAGAAGTCCTACAGAAAGTGCGAGACATTGAATTAGAAGCCAGTCAGGTGAAAAATTCAGCACATGGGAAATCTTTCGTTTCTAGTCTTTCAACTTCTTTTAATTAGAAAAAAAGTTTGAAGAATGACCTCTCTGATCCTTTAAGAGATTGTCCTCAGAATCTAAATTATGAGGATTTAAAATTTGCAGCCTGTATATGGAATCTAAATTTAATCTTTAGGCTATTTTTCTTTAAAAGATTAAATGGCATAGCATTTTTGAGTTTATTAAAGTCATAGAAAATACTTCAAGATGATTATATATATCATTTTGTAATAAGTGTTAGGTAATTCTTGTGTTTTTAAAATAACTTTTATGAATATTATAAAAACTTAAAAGTCAGATACATATGGCTTTGAAGAGATGATCACAATTGACCGGGAAATTGATTACTTAATGTGATTTAAAATATTAAGTGATGAATTAATATCCAATGTAGTATATAAAATTTACATACAATAAATTGATGGTAGATATCCAAAAACTTGTAATTCAGAGTTTTTAAACATTCCACTAAATTTTTATCATTTATCTTTTTCATTAACTTTATAGTAGTCTAACATTACAATATAGGTACTAAAATTTTGTGACTACATAAATAGGAAAAGTACATAATTTTCTCTGAGTTCCTCTTTTGGATTTAATGAGGTTTAATCTCCTTTCTCTTTTAAGGATTTCTTACAGAGACCTGCTAGAGTTGATTTTGAATATCTTATTGATGTATCTAAACTGTTTTAAGGAAAACATTCATTTAATGCTTACATATATATGGAGAAGATGGCCAATTCTGATCTAATTTATGTAAAACACTTTTTGATGAGATTAAATATCTGTCAGTAATTACGTTAATAAAGGCTATCACATAAAGACTGCCCTCTGATGCTTCTTTGAGTTAGCAATGTTCAAATGCTCTTTACACAGCTGGATCGTTATAAAGAACTTAAGGAACAAGTAAGGAAGAAGGTGGCTATAATGACCCAACCACTGGAAAAACTGCAGTGGGAACACAAGGCTGATAAGGAAAGACTGGCATTTGAAAAGAGGAGGCATGGAGAAACTCAGGTACTTGGTTTGTACACTCATGATTTACAGATGTTTTCAGTGAAATGTTACTAGCTTTTTATATTAGCTTTTCAATATAGAAGTGGATTTACATCAGACATAGAGATTAATAAACAAATTGTTGGTTACCTGTGATGCTGCTTGTGTCACATAGGTGCCACTGGAGGTCCGAAGTACAGACAGTGCCTCCATTCGTACAGTCAGTCAGCATTCTCTGCGCCTCTGTATAGTGATGGGGATGGGCAGGTGATGTAGCCTCTGTTCTTACATGTATCATACAGTCCGGTGAGGTAGGAGGAGGATACATAAAGGGAAGAATCAATTAAGCATCAAATAGAGGTGAATGCAAAATTATTTGGAAACATTAAGGCCATTGCCCAAGAGGAGTGTCATAGTCTACATGGGAAGTGGCCATCAAAATAGCTTTTTTTTTTCCAGTTAGCAATAGTCCCGCCTCAGGTAAACCTCATTGGCTACGATACGGCCATCGCGCAAAGCTCAAAATAGGATTTTAATGGTCTGCCTTAGAGTAAGACAGACCTGGCTTCCAGCTAGTCTTATTATTTACTGACCTGTGTGATCTTGGTAATTAAATTATTTAACTTGTCTGGACTTTGGTTTCTTCATTTGTACAATGAGGAGAGGTATGTCTACCTCATAGTGGTGGGCAGGTAGAATAAAATGAAAAGGATGTGATACTACACCAAGATCTGATCTTTCCCTCTAATGCCTCAGGGTGTAGTACAGTGATGGCGAACCTTTTGAGTTCGTCGTGTCAGCATTTTGAAAAACCCTAACTTGTGCTCGCTTCGGCAGCACATATACTAAGATTGGAACGATACAGAGAAGATTAGCATGGCCCCTGCGCAAGGATGACACACAAATTCGTCAAGCGTTCCATATTTAAAAAAAAAAGAGAAAAGAAAAACCCTAACTTAACTCTGGTGCCGTGTCACATATAAAAACTTTTTGATATTTGCAACCATAGTAAAACAAAGATTTATAGTTTTGATATTTATTTTATATATTTAAATGCCATTTAACAAAGAAAAATGAACCAAAAAATGAGTTCGCGTCTCACCTCTGACACACGTGTCATAGGTTCGCCATCACTGGTGTAGTATATGGTAATCATATGAATAGAAGAAAGGACTTTTGTGGAGGAGAAGAATGTCCTCTGGCTGGTGTGTCTCAGTTTAGTAGAGCCCTGTCCTGAACGCTGAGCTTGAGGGCTTGATGCCCGGTCAGGCACATACCCAGGTTGTGGGTTTGGTCCCCAGTCGGGGTGTGTATGGGAGGCAACTGATTGATGTTTTTCTTTCACATCGATGTTTGTCTCTCCCTCTCCCTCTCCCTCTTCCTCTCCCTTCCCCTCTTTAAAATTAATTTTTTAAAAATTAAGAAAAAAGGCCTTGGCCTGGTGGATTGGTTGAAGCATTGTCTCGTACGCCAAAAGGTGTGGGTTCGATCCCTAGTCAGGGCACACGCCGAGGTTACGGATTTGTTTTCTCTCACATTGGTGTTCTCTCCCTGTCTCTCCCTTCCTCCCTAATATCCATGAATATATCCTCGAGTGAGGATTAAAATACATTTTAAAAGCAGGAAATATAGTAACATAGCAGTAATTTTAAACCACTTGAATAATTTGTATTGCATTATAAAATTGTACACTGATTGCTATAAATTCTCATTGCACATGTTTGCCTTTGTGCATGCTAATTTTGAAAAAACTTACTTATCGCTACATGTTAAATTCTATGGTTACCACAGCACAAAGCCTTACCTAGCCTGCCTTTTCTTCCTAGCCCACCAAAAAAAAAACACAGAATAATTTCTTCTGCATCTAATTACTCATTATTCTTAATTTATATCTAAAGAATTTTATCCAGTTGAAGGAAAAGCACAGTTAGTTGGTACAGCTTTACTAGACTGGAAGCTTCTTAAAGGCAGGATTCATAATAGTGTCCACTATAAATTTTGTACTGAGTACATGTCAGTACGTTTTGGTTGAATTGCTGTTGTCTTTTGAATATGAAAACACTGACAGGAGAAGAAATAGATTGAGGTGGAGAAAGATGGAGAAATCTGTACTCATACTCAGTTCCCTGACTCTCTCCCTGGACAGGAGGGGGCATAACTTCCCACAGGTACCAGATGGCTAGGTGCTGCGCAGTGGTTGGTTTTCCAGACACTGGCACTATCAGCTGGCATCTCAAATGCAGAATGCCTGCTACCACGGCAGACTGATTTCCCCATTATGTGTCCAGCAGAGCACCCAGTCCCTGACCCCCTCCCTGTGGGATGATGGCCCTGGTCTTTCACGTTTCCTCCAGGAAAGCTATTCCTCAACCAAAGCATGTCTGACGTTTATTCCAGGCTCTTTGTATAACAGGGAGTGATCCCTCAGAGACGCCTCTGCCCAGTGAAGTAATTGCCACAAAGAAACCCATCTGGCGTGACACAAGCCTTGGGGGTGGCCAGAGTAAAGGCAGGGGCAGGTTTCCTAGTTGACTAAATTTTGTGTTCTTTGTTAAGTAACCTTGTTTTTTTCTCTTTGCATGGATTCTTAAGTGAGATATTAAAATGTCAATAGGGGAGCTCTAATTTTAAGATGTTTGCGTCCTAGAGAAAAATGAACGGTGTCTTGCTTATGTTCACAGCTCTGGCACCTGGCAGAGTTGTTTGTTCAGTGAATTTGTGTGATACATGAGTACAGTGAGATAAGCATCTTCATAGAATGTGTTTGTTCCTTTCCACTTAAAAACTCTTATATTTCTTCTTTTTCCGGGTGTGGTAGACTGAAAAAGACTTGTGTTTCTGACTTTTCTACACTCCCGGTTTTAAATTACTTAGCAGTGGAGTAAGATTAATCTTGCTGTGTGGTGCACAAGAGGAATTAGACGGGAGAGGCTAAAGACATGAAGCGGATTGGAGACTACCACTGCACTTAGATTTAGTGATAAATGGGACTGGAGCAGGACTTCCGTGACGCCCTCCTCCCACTGCCTAGAGTTGCCTTCTATGTCCTGTGCTGGTATAGCACCGAGCCACTCTGCTGGGATGACCTACTCAGTTATCTGTCTCTCCCACCAGACATTGGTCCGTGAGAGCAGAGACTGTGTCCTTGTTGAAAGTATTACAGATGTCCGCCCCCCCCCCCGACCCCTCCATCCGGCATCCCTTCAGGTGTCCTGTTGTTTGTATCGCTACGTCCTAGCCATGTTAGCCAGCGAATAAGTATTTATTGCATGAATTGTCTGCAGCACAGGGAATATGGTCAGTGATACTGGGATGCGTATGCATGAGGCCAGGTGGGTACTTGAAGCAGTGCGTGGGGACTACTCTGTAAAGTACATGATTTCCTAACAACTTCGCTGTGCACCTGAAACTAATACAGAATCATATTGAGTGTAAACTGTAATTGAAAAACAAATTTTAAAAAATTCATTATATATAACAAAGCACAGATAGTTTATATTAAAGGAGAAGTCCCAGGAGAAATTATTGATATTCTTGTGAAATACTCAATTTATACTATGTTATAACATTACCAAATGGCATCTTTTCATTAATGAACTAATTTTACAATGCAGGATAATATTTCTCTTAATCGCTCAGAGAGGGACACCTAGTTTTTATTTTTCTGAGATTTAGTTTCTTTTAGTTGTAAATTAAGTTGCACATTTAAGATTAGATTCTATTGTTATTTCACTGTTCTTTTATTTCTCTGTGGATGACCTATTTACTCCATCTCAGTTTGGTACTAATTTAAAATATTTTAACTAAAAAAATTTCAGATATGTGAAAAAGAAAAGAACTGTATATCATCTATAATAATAAAAGTGTAATATGCTAATTAGACCAGACGTCCTTCTGGACGACCTTCCGGACAAAGCCGCTGTGGTGGCAGGGGCTGAGGCAGAGGCGGCCACTGTGGCGGCAAGGACCAAGCCCCTTGCACGAATTTCATGCATCGGGCCTCTAGTTTGAAAATAATACCCTTGGAGGGAGTTTGAGTTTACCACAGTAAACTTTGTAGAGATCAGATATTTAGTAAAGGGTGGAGCCAGGATTTGAATCGTGATTCTTATAACCTCAAAGCTCTACACCATCCTGCCTTTTCACAATTAAAATTTGCTCTTATGAGTATTTTCATGTGGTTATATTTGATATATTTCAAATTCAGAGCAACAGGATATTACAGTAAGTTCTAAGCAGATAGTGAAAAATAATCAATTTTATTTGTTTGGAGTTGCTGTAATTGATTTTAGGTTTCATTTCCTAATTTAGGAAAATCTAAAACAAGTAAACGAACAAATAGAAGATCATAAAAAGCGAATAGAGAAGTTGGAGGAGTACACAAAAACATGCATGTGGGTATTGTTAAAGGTTTTTGCAGCTGTCATAGTTCAGGGGTCTGGTTTATTTATGGTATATTCATCAAGTAAATGCTTTCATTGTATCATGTTTTCACTCTTCCAGTGTATATAATAAAAAATTATACTTCAGCACATAAATAAAATGTTTAAGTTTTGAAAATATAAATGTTTATCAGTAGTGAAACTTAAAACTCTCTTTTGGTATTAACATTTTAAAATGAAAGTTATGTCATGAAAGCTAGTACAATCTAAGTATTCTCCCACTAAGAATTTTTTAAATAGGCATTTATTTATTAAGTCCATGATGATTGCTCTGGTTATATTGCTCTATCTTTACTTTTTCAATATCCAGAAATATGTATCTTTTGAATCATTAAAGAATGATTAAAATCTCTTTTGCCCAAGTTTGGTGCTAGGTTTATTTTATTGCCTTTTTCATCACTTAAAATTGACAGAGCACTATTCCATTCCCCTGCAATGCCAGACCTAAGTATATTGTATCTTGTAATTTCTAAATTTTTGTTTTACTTTTTGCTATATAATTTATTTTTGCTATTATTATGTAGGGATTGCTTGAAAGAAAAAAAACAGCAAGAGGAAATACTAGTGGATGAAATTGAAAAAACAAAATCAAGAATTGCGGAAATTAATGAAGAGATGAGTCTTATTAGAAGTGAACTGCAGAATGCTGGGATTGATACCCATGAGGGAAAACGCCAGCAAAAGAGGGCAGAGATTCTGGAAAACCTTCAAAAACTTTACCCAGACGCTGTGGTAATAGATGCACAGTTAATTTAAACAAAAAGGCTAAGCTTTCTTATTTGGGATTTAAAATGTTATTATTTGAAAGAAAAATTATTTCATAAATCTTTGTTTTATTATTTATTTTTAAACTATAGTAAATATTTGGGGTAAAAATGAAAATAACATCCAGTACTATCTACAGATAAGTAATGTTGGGGGAGGAACATTTCCATGAACATATCACCAGAAAGTCCACGTTATGGCCAGTAACCCCAAGGACTTGGTTGCCATGAAGTAGTTTCTCTCCTGAAAGTACACAGCCTTACACCTCTTCCTGTGTTTGTTTTTTATGTTTTCAGTGGACATCATTGATATACTTTTGTAACAGTGAACTTTTATTTACTAAATCTGACCTGCATTCAGTTTTGCTAGTATATTTCATTAGCCCAAATACAGCAATATCTAATCTGTTGCTTAGAGTGTCAACTTCACAAAATTATTTCCTTTGGTATTGGGGTCTGGTGTTTCAGGCCTTGGTCCCTAACACCAGTGTTCACTGCCCAGTCCTTATTTCATGATGGCCTGTTTTCAGCATTTGACACTGTTAACCACTTGCACTGTTTTGAAACCCCTGCCCATTGGCTTCTATGGTACCAGTCTCATGATTTTCCTCCTATCTCTGGCCACCCCAGCTTCTCCTTTGTACCATCCTTTTTTACTTTCTGACTTTTAACTGTTGGTCTTGACTTCAGGATAATGATGAAGGAGTAAGTCTTGGTCACAGAATCCTTCCCCCAGTATCAAACAGAATGACAAAAACTAGTTAAAAACAAAACAAAACTGGGCCAACAGGGCTCATATACATCTAATGCCATAAACTTCAGAAAATGGTAATAGTCCAGGATATTTTTTAAAAAATTGAAGTATATCCTTTTAAAGCATTTATTTTTGTTATTGAACTTATTGGGGTTACATTGGTCAGTAAGATTATATAGGTTTCAAGTGTACAGTTCTACCATACATCATCTGCACATTGCATTGTTTGCTCACCACCCAAAGTTTAGTCTCCTTTCATCACCATTTATGCCCCTTTTATCGTCTTCCACCTGCCCCCACAGTAATAACCATACTGTTGTCTGTGTCTATGAGGTTTGGTTTTTTGTTTATTTAATCGCTTCACCTGTTTTGCCTAGCCCCTCACACCCCTCCTCGTTGACAGCTGCCAGTCTGGTCACCTCTTCCTGTGTTTGTTTTTTATGTTTTCAGTGGACATCATTGATATGCTTTTGTATATCTATGTGTCTGTCTCTATTTTGTTTGTTTATTTTGTTCATTAGATTCCACTTACAAGTGAAAGCAAATGGTATTTGTCTTTCTCTGACTGGCTTATTTCACTTAGCATAGTACTCTAGGTCAGCAGTTTTTAACTAGTGTGCTGCAAGAATTTTTAATAGTCAAGGTGAAAGGAGAAGAAAAAAAAGAGCAGGATACCAAGTATTAACAACAATCATGATCTATCATAAAGAAATTAGTATTCCTGAAGTAGAACCAAGCAAATGAAAAAAGAGTCTAAGACATAAAATTGAATCTTCAGATAGTCTAGGAAGCATTGATATCGTATGGTTGATGTTCTGACATTTTTAAGAAAACTTATTGAATTGAATCTAATCAATTCTTGACCTTCCTTCAGATCTCAAATAGCACTTCTTTCTGGGGAGCTGTCCCTGGCATCTCAGGTCAACCTACATGTCATACATTCTCACAGTGTTCTGTGCTTAACACAGTGTCTATTATAAGTCTGTTCTGTACATGTGTCTAATAATTGGTTATTCATATCTTTCTTCCCTACTAGACAGATAGTTCTGTGAGGTCAGAATGTATCTGCTTTGTTCAGTAATGTTTACCCAGTGCCTAGCTCAGTACCTGCATGTGGTGATGAAATGAGGGGTCCTTCTAATTCTTGTTTAGTAAATGAGGGAATGGATGAATACGTTTAATTACTGTGGCTTTGCAAAAGTATTTTAACACCTTGGTAAGGCTAGCTCCTCCTCATTATTCTTAAGTGAAATATGACATACCTAAATGAATATTTCATAATAAAACCTATGTCCATTTGACGAGACTCCATGCAAATCTGATGTTTATAATTTTATCAAATTAGTCTTTGGTTTATGCTGCTTTGTTACATTAGAAAACAATGAGTTATATGTTCCTCATGAATGTATTTTCTGCTCTTCTTTTTTGAAACCTGCTAAGTTTGGAAGACTGCTTGACCTGTGTCATCCTATTCATAAGAAGTACCAGCTGGCTGTCACTAAGCTTTTTGGCCGGTACATAGTCGCCATTATTGTAACCTCTGAAAAAGTAGCAAGAGATTGTATTCAATTTCTGAAGGAGGAAAGAGCCGAACCTGAGACATTCCTTGCTCTAGATTTCATTGATGTAAGAAATTTATAATGTTTAGCATTTAGTAGTGATAAATCTTGTTTAAAGTACGTCTTTATTGCCAAAACTATGGTAGTGATAGAAAAAATCAACCTGGATGCCAGCCAGTCGTTCCGATGGCTGGTGTTAATGTATTGGCAGGCCAGGAATAGCATCAAGTGGGTGCTGTCCTTTCTGACTTCATACCATTTCTTCCATAGCTGGTTTGCCATAACTCTACCTTGGTGCTTTTGAGGACATTGTTTTAGCCTACTAGACAGCAATATTTTTATTCAGTAGCAAAGTGTGAGATGGTAAGACATAAGGTGTGTGGGAGAAATGCCAACCAGAGTCTCAGTGGTAAATACGCATCAGTGATCCAGTAATATGCATCAGTCTTGGTAGAGCAGGCGAATGTGGAGCCTTGGGGCATGTGTTGAGAGGCCTTGGGGTATCGAGAGTCTGAATCCTGAGGCAGGAACTCTGTCATTGTCAAGATTGATATTCTCTTCCTGGCCGGGTAGTTCAGTTGGTAGAGCATCACCCCGATCAATATGCCAAGGTTGCAGGTTCCAGCTCCGGTCAGGGCATTACAAGAAGCAACCAATGAATGCACAAATAAGTGGAACAACAATTCCTGCCTTCCAGAACCTGAACCGAAGGCAGTGGTCAAGAGCACATGCCCTAGACTAGGACTGACCTGAGGATGAATCTCAGCCCTGCTCCTAATTAGCTCTCAGGGATTTTTTGAGTGCCAAAAAATGGTGAGTGCCACCATGCTGTGCCACTTTTCTGACACACACATGAAGGCATTATCTCTCTCTAGATTTTATGATTTTGAAAGCATAGAGTGCTTATCATGCATCACTTTGTCCCAGCTGGCTAGTGATGGAGTTGAATCTGGAAATTTTATCTTCTGGACTTAGATGAAGTGTATTTTTTTAAATTTAATCCTCACCCAAGGATATTTTTCTATTGATTTTTTTTTTGAGAGAGAGAGAATGGGAGTGGGAGAGACAGACAGAAACACATTGTTTGCCTTTGCCTTGAGCCTGCAACCAAGGTATGTGTACTTGCCCGAATTCTAACCTGGACCCTTCCAGTCTGCAGGCTGGTGCTCTATCCACTGAGCAACTGGCTAGGGCTGACGAAATATATTTTTTAAAAATAGTACACGAGCTGATGGTGGGATACAGTTTGACAGGTTCTTGTCAAACTTTTATTGTGTATAAATGTATACTGTTAATCTCTCACTGTCACGCTTACTTATGCTTTTTGGGAAAGGATGTACTGAGTACTGTACTTGGTTTCTTATTTTAGTGTGTCTAATAAGTGTTTTTTAAACTTTTTAGATCAAGCCAATTAATGAAAGGTTGCGGGAGATTAAAGGCTGTAAAATGGTGATTGATGTCATAAAGACTCAGTTTCCTCAGCTGAAGAAAGTAATTCAGTTTGTGTGTGGAAATGGCCTTGTCTGTGAGACTGTGGAGGAAGCAAGGCACATTGCCTTTGATGGACCTGAAAGACGGAAAGTAAGATGCTTAGATTGTACTTTCGGGTAATCTGAAGCAATATGTATAAGACTAATATATTACACAAATATTAATATATGCTTTCATATGACTTTTAATAAGGAAAACTAACAGAACCTAAGATGGTTATGGCTTCAATAGTTTTTATAATGCTTAGTTGAGTTTTCAAAAATTCAATTCTGTAGCATTTCCCTATATCATAAATTATATTTTGGAAATTAGATTTATTGTAATAATATCTTCAAGGCAGTTTTTTTTTTCTTTTGCTCAGATGCAATATATGTTCTAGCTGAATCTCGATATGCCCTGCATTTAAATGTGTAGTACATGTGTTTCTGAGTATCAGGAAAATTTTCAGGTGCTTATTTTATATTCTGGGTTAATTCTTCCATAGTTTAATGGAAGAATTCTTACACATTCAAGGTTTTAACACATTTGAAGTTATAGAAACAGCACAATTAAAATGAGTGTACTATATATCTTTCAAGGAAATTTTGGTTTTAAAAGTAAATATTGTTTTAGTCTCAGTTGAATAGAGTGTGTATTTAGTTAACAATGTTTCATTTCTCAGATTATCTGACATACATTTTTTTAAAACTACTAGTATATCCCTGATGAAGCTTACATAGTGCCGTGGGGCATAAGCCATGAAGCAAAACCAGTGATGCTGCTTAGGAATTAATTATGTGACTTTAGACAAGTTTCTAAACCTCTAATTTTATTTTATTTTTTTATAAGCAAGTATTCATTTATTAAAGAGAAGCAGTTCACCATTGGAAATTTAAAAGAAACTACAAATAATATTACGTGTAAAGCTCACGTACTAGTATTTAAATTTCTCTGAAGCAATTTATGCCTCAGTAATTAAGAGAAAGAAGAGATGAACACTTTATTAAGACAAGAAGCCACCTAATATGGATTATGCTGTGGAATAATTGTCCACTCAGTATTCTATCCCACTGGGACAGTTTTTTAAAAAGGTTTTCATACTTTAAAAAATTATCACATCCACTAGAATAAGATGGTATAAATTAATATTA